CATGGGGCCTGAGCAACAGTTCCGTGGCGACACATCACTTTTGGCCTCGGAATTTACCACTAACAATGGCAACTTCTCTGCTAAAGGTCTGAACGTTATTTTGGCACAGTAGCAACAACAATTTGAGGCATCTCAGCTGAGATTGATTGAGACACTCACTCGACAAATGACTGTCCAATCTGACCCAACACAGGGGACATCCAGACCTCCTGTTGATGCAGTACTCAGCAGTGTCGCAGAGGTTACTTTTGATATCGAATCAGGATAGATTATCGACGCATGGTTCAAGCGTTAAGATGATATCTTCGAAGAGGAACTAGCAAGCCTGGACGATGCAGCAAAGGTTCGGTTGCAGTTGAGGAAACTCGGAACTATGGAACACGAAAGTTATGTCAATTTCATTCTGCTGTAAGACGTACATGAGTTTAATTTCGATGAAACGGTCGCTCGGCGAACAGAAATATTCGGCGATTAGTCCTCGTTATTCAGTAATCGGTACAACTGTTTGAAGCTGTGCAAGAGAGACGCTGACGGTCTCGTTGCTCATGCGGCAATCGTAAAGCGAGAGTGCCAAAAGTTCAAGTTGAAGACTTTTACAGCGGATCAGAATGAATGTTTGATTTTAGTATGCAGCTTACCATCTCCAAAGGATGCCGAGATAAGACCCAGAATGCTGAATCAACTAGAGCGCGATCCGGAGGTTACATTGCAGGACGTTATCGCAGACGCTAATGGAATCATTGATTTGAAACAGGACGAAGCAATGATTAAGGATTCCAAGGCGAACTTCAGTGACACAAATGCCCAGGCAATCTTTAAGAGAAAGACCCTCTCGTCAAATACATAAAACACCTACAAGGAAAACCCCATCGGCTTGCTAGCGCTAGGAGGAGTGGCACCTTGTTCGGTGGTATCTCCTCAACAGACACGTGTGTGAAAGCGTCACGGACGAGCACACACAAAAACAACTGCGGGGCCAGGCATCCATTCAGGCAAACATCACGCATCTGACAGAAAGTACACAAACCTTTTGACTGGAGAGTAAACGCCAACCTCATTGATAATGTCAAAGAAAGACAGGAGTTTCTCAGCAACGCTATCAACGGAAAGTTGGTCGGACTGTAGATTGACACAGCTCCAGACATCACGGTGATATCAGAAAACCTGTGGAAGACAATCGGATCAACTGCTATCAACCAGACGGAGCAGCGGGCCAGAACTGCTTCGGATTCCGAGTTGTCTTTGCTGGGTCAAGTGGAATGCGAATGCCGTTTTACCGATGGCACTGCGTGGGGAACGATTTTCATCAAAGCGCACCACAATTTGAACATTCTGGCGTTGGATTGGATCGAACGTTTTAACCTATTGGATGTCCAAATTAATCAATGTTGTTCAATTATACAACTAAAGACCCAAGTGGCACCCAAAACGACGACAATGCAGCGAATGCGAGAGAAATATGTCTCAGTTATCCGAGATGTTCTCGGTCAGTGCATTAAAAATAAAAGCTTCACTGTCCCTAAAATCCGAAGCCGTTCTAGTATTTCGCGCAGCCATCCCTGTGGTTGATCAAAAACCGAATTTCCTAGAGAGAACAGGAGTGACTTATGCAGCTAATTATTCATATTGGGCCGTCCATATCCTTATTGTTAAAATGTCCAGCGGTCAGGTTCGAGTATTTGCAAACTTTGCGACGGGCTTGAACGTAGCACTGAATCATCATCAGTATCTGCTTCTAGCTCCGGGACATCAATTTACAAAGCTCAGTTGGGGCGTGTTTTGCCAAGTTGGATCTGTCGGACGCATAACTGCAAGTTGAAGTGCATGAAGGCTCCAGAGAACTACTCACCATAAACATGCAACGGGGGGCTGTGTCAGTAGCACCGACTACATGGACACGACGCCGCTCGGAGTTGACGGAGCTGCCGCGTATGCGGACGATACAACTGTTTCAGATAACACAATGAGAAGACGGGTGTTACACGATGATATCATTTGGCGCTTTCTGATCACATGCAAGCGAGCGACATTTACCAAGCACGAAACGGAAAGATCAATGATTTTAATGGTGTCGGAACGAATACCAACGAACTTTCTTACAAGCTGGATAGAGTACTAGGCTGAATCGAGGAATACGGCTTCAGATTGCGTCCATAGAAGTGCCACCATTACTATGGACTCTATAACATACCTCGGCTTCATAGTCAACAAAGACGGAAGACGTCCAGATCCGGTTAACATTGAGGCTATCAAGTGCACGCCGCCACCTACAGATGTCCACACGCTGAGATCAATTCTTGGACTCATCAACCACTATAGCCCATTCCTGCCACACATGCATCGCCTCCGGGGCCCGTTTAACGAGCTGTTGACCAGTGACAAACTTTAGCATTGGTCAGAGAAATGTCAAAAATCATTTGCAAAAGTCAAGAAACTGCTATGCTTGAACCTCCTACTGATCCACTACAATCCCAAGCTGGTTATTATAGTAGCACCGGAGGCCTCGTTCGGAGCAGTCATAGTGCACCGGTTCCCCGATGTTTCAGAAAAAGCTAAAGCTCACGAGGCCAGGTCGCTATCGCCTGCAGAAAAGAATTATGGCCAGGATGAAGAAGCTTTGGCGAGCGTCTGTGTCGTGAGGAAATTTTACAAGATGTTGTGCGGGAGAAAGTTCACTCAGCTTAGTAACCACAAGCCTTTGCTGGCGATTTTCGTCTCAAAGTCATGTATCCCGGTATACGTGGCGAACAAATTGCAGCGCTGGGCTACAACAATGCTGGACTTTAACTTTAAAGTGAAGCAATTCAAGTCAAAATATGATTTATGAGCCCGACTGGGAACATTTTCAGCATTTTACACTAGCACTGCGGATGTCGTGAGACATAACGCAAGTATGGAATTGCAATACAAGCGTAAAAAGAAGAGAACGCATGCATATCACTCAAGTGAGCGTTCACGTGTGGTGCTGTTAAGTTTCTTGGAGTTCACAAGAAAGCGGGATGAATACGGTAAGATAAAGTTGTGATAACGTGTTGCACAAGAAAACAAAATCTTAAATATATAGCGAGTAGACGAGCAGGAGGGGGATTTAGTTAAATCAGCGTGAAGTTGGTGAAAATGGTTGTTTAAAACAATTGCTGAAAAGGTGTCACATGCGCTAAAGTGCTTTGTAACGATAAGTCAAGCAGAGACGCTCTGGACAATCCACTACACTTGGAAGTGAGCTTAATGGAACGCACAATCAATGTGAAGTCTTTTAATAGTAGACCAGGAAAATGATAGCGAGCAATATAACCAATGGTGAAGGATACGGGCAATCACGAACTGGTGAACTAAAGAGCTGAGTACTAAAAGCATTTTGAGTCTGAGAGCAAAGAAGGATAACTTCCGCACTTTGCAAAACGTTTCGTAAACGTGTGTTGACAAAGATAGATTGTGAGATAAATGTATACCAAGGTATTTAACAGTGGACGAATAGGGTATATTGTGGTCGCTTACGACCATGGGGGGAGAAGTGTTTATCACAGTCAGACATTTGTCAGTGTGGAAGCACGTCTCCACGAAACTTAGTGGTTTAGTAGATGCGCTCCCTCGTTTGTTGACAAAGGAATCACGCCAGATGGAATATACTGTCATTGCAGCAATCTTGTTGGAGGATGAAGTGAAACAAGTGGTAGCGGAAAGTTTCCAAAATCCACCAGTGACTTTCGAAGTGGTACACGATGCAGCGATGAAGGATCCCATCCCACTAGAGGCCATGGAAATGCATATCACTCAGTGGCTAAAGGATGATTACACTGGCGAGTTACACACATCGTACCAAAGGAAGGATGTGTTGCCAGTTGTGGTTGGTTGCTGCTCTTCTCGGAACGCATTGTCATTCCAACTGTGTTACGCCGCTGAGTCATACGTCAGCTTCACAGAGGACACTCTGGTATTAACAGGATGAAAATGATAGCGTGAAGCTTTGTGTACTGGCTAAAGATGAACTCAGAAATAGAACATTTCAGCGAGCCATGTCCCTGGTGCGCCATACCCTACAAAGCCTCCAGAAGAGCCACCAGTGGTAAGAAGACCATGGGAGCGCATTCCGACATATTTCTATGGTCTTGTAGATGGGCAGTAGTATCATATCATCGTCAACCCATTCAGCAAATGACCAGAGGTTATTCGAATGGACACAACTACCAGTGGTGCCAACATAAACTTACTGAAGGAGGATTTATCCTCAAAACGGATCAAATGTTTCCCACAAAGGTAACGCAGTGTAACATATTGAAAATAGTCCCTGTGTACATCTGCGGATTAATAGCTACATCGAACGAGGAGGAGAATAAGATGCTACGAACTAGGATGATCAAAAATCGAGCTGTCATGCTCTGGTTGATTAAGCTTAGAACTACGTCAGTTTTATATTACTTATGAGTAGGAAAATTTTAGTTGCAATTTTAATGTATTCGTCAAAGCATCGCACAAGCTGCATAGCACAATCCCAATCCGGAAAAGCACCAGACGAGTTTCGCCTTACCGGAGCTCGTCTGTGGTGCGCATCCCTTGGTCCCCTAGTGGAGACCGAACCCATGGCCACTAGAGGCTGACGCCAACTAGTCAGCAGCTTAGGCCACTGAGCCATGGAAGACGATGGTTGGGCTATATAATTTGCAAGCGAACCGGGATATAGCACGACCCATTTTTCACTGCCACGCAGATGAAAGTAGCTAGCCTCCGAGGTCATGATTTCTCTCACTAGACGCTATGTCCATAGGACGCAAGCGTATGACAGCTCACCAGAAACCAGTATGGGCAAACCAAACGTTATAAGACATGCTAGTAGCAGAACTATAAACAAATCGAACGCTCTGTGACATTAGATGTAGCTGAGTAGTGAGAGGGATAAAGTACCGAGCATAAACAAACACAACGGTGGATGAAAAAAGGCAACGTGATATCATCAACAATGTCCGAAATGAAGTGATACAACCATCCAGCTTTATACTCACGCCAATGAACAGATCTCCGGTGTAAATTTAAATGGTCGCTACGAGTAAACGATTTCTCACAAACCTCACATGTATGGGGGCGTTGATCTGGAACATAAAGATAGAAATTTCAGCGGAAGCACACATCGAAAATAACATCTGGAAAGTGAACTAGTACACAAATGTTGAAGCCATAATGAAGAAAAATACTTATGTGATTTACTAAGAGATAAGCCAGATTCCAATATAGGAATTAACGGGGAGGGCGAATGGCCCGAGGGAAAACTGTGCATGTGATTTCTGCTGGTTTAGAGAGCTTGATGCACTGGAACGGTGTCATCACGCAGATTGATGATGAACCATCATTTCCCTGATACCATTAAAAGACAACATACGCGTCTAAGTATAGGACGAAAGCAAGTGGCAAAATGCCAGAATGGTAAGAAAGAACAACATTTCGACAAGATAATCCGAATTCAGTTATTTCACCTATGCAAGATATGCTGTTGTAAGGTTGTTCTTTCCTGCCTCTGAAATGTGTGAAGAAAAAGTGATACGTGAAATAACAAAGTGGCAAAAATTGTCGGCTAAGTTATTCGAATAGCTAGCGTGAATTTCGGAATACAACCTGGTGACGCACGTGAAATCGACTCCACAAAATAGTTCCGTGGGGTTCACCAAACTTAATTGACCAATACACATACACCGTAACAGAGGAACAGGCGAATTAGACACTTCGCAAAATCGGCTCGGAAGGATATAAACGGTGAAACAAGGGCAAGTAATTGACGGCGCTACAATGGGTGACAAACGACGCAGTTTGGAACTTATAAACGGTGAGGTCACTAGGTAATAAAACATAATCCTGGTAAGTAAACGAATCCAGAGCGCATTTTATGAGCTTTCACAAAAAGTGTGATATTGTCACTCTTGCCGGAGGTTGAAACGCACGAGTGAGCAACCTGTCACCAAGCGAGCACAACCCTAGTTTTGGCCTCGGTAGCAGTCGATCAGATGAAAGAGGCAGACTGTAGACTCTTAGCTCTGATCATCGTTCGATTCTTTATAGCCCCAGTTTTCGGCACACGAAGACGCAAACTGCTACCTGGCGCCTACCTTCACAAACATAAGAGTGGTCTCAGCTTGACCACATAGCCATAAGCTACAGATGGCGTGGAAATGTATCAGACTGCCGTTCGTATTGGTCAACTTGCCTGAACTTAGAACGCGCATTGGTTCGTGTTGAGATTTGTATGCGTTTCGGAGGATCGCCCAAATGTACGCATTATCGACCGATCGTAGAAAACCAGCGAGACCCTGCAACGTTAGCCAAATACCTGGCCTCTCTGTCGGCACTGCTTGCTTCAGCTAATGACGATGATCTGAATTCACGGTGGATGCGCATCAGAGATACCTTAGTTACTGCCAGCATTGATAATTGCGGAGTTGACCGTCAACCACCCAAAGACTTTATCGTTGCTGTCTTCTTGTCGCTGATGGACAGACGCCGCTCGATCCCGGCAGATGCCAGCTGTAGTGAAGAGGGCCGATCCCTGCATCTAGAATTACTCAGGAGTTTATAAAAAGGACCTTGAAAGCTGGTTGTGTGAATGCAAAAGAGAGTTGGAACTCACTAACCTATCTGGTAATACCAGAAGACGTTTCCATCTCATCCGAATCACCGAAGGTTTCCGATTTGATGTAAGTGAAACAATCTGCGAGGAGGATGGCTCACTAATCACCAACCTCCAACGACGGTTGGAACAATGGGCTCAACCTTCAGGTGGGCAGTCTTGCTGCCCACTAGCTACATCTACTTTTCATGAAATGTGCGCTGGTGCTGAGCGATATGTCCATACAGATCTTCCCTTTCACCAGGAAATCTGGCAAAAACTCCGTCTACTGAAGCATCATGAACCACCCGGTCTTGATGGCTTACCTCCCGCCCTATTTAATGATGGTAGCTATTCGCTGGTTCAAGAATTCAGCGCTTGGTTCTCAGAAGTCTGGTTGAAAGAGGTTCCCTCGTCTAGGGGTGAGTCGATAGCCGTCCCTAGTCACAAAAGTGGATTGTCCAAAATTTGATCCAAATATAGAAGTATAATTTTGCTTCCCATCATCCGTAAGGTCTTTGTTTCTATCACACCTCGAAGGCTATCTCTAAGTCGAGAATCACAACAGCGGGAAGTACAGGCTGGGTTCCACTCTGGCCACGTCTGTATCGATCAAATTTTCAAACGAAGCCAGATCCTCGAGCTCCACCACGGGTACCAATATTCTACGAGTATTGTGTCCCAGCATAATCCAGCAGCCGTCGTTTCTGTCGACAGGACTGCATTGTGGCGCTGTTTGTTGAGAAGCAGCATCCCCGGGATGTTAGTTTCCATAATGCATGCTATGCACAGTGTGACTTCGGGTAGAGTTACGGCTTACGACAAGCTTTCCTCTTATTTTGTTGCTATTATTTGGGTCAGACAAAGATGTACTATCTCCCCCATTGAGGACGTCCGCAAAAATCCTCTCGGAGATTCTTTTAACGATGGCGTCGAGCTAATCCAATGTAACCGAGTTACTGACTCGGACTGCGCTGATGTTATCGGCTTGCTGGGTGACCGTCCTAAAGTTCAACGTAACCCTCCTTAGCAACTAAATAAATCAGGCTTCCTTGGTAGTCTGATACGTAACCTCGTAGCTGACTAGCTATTCCTGGTCAGAACATCAGCTCACGGGATCGCGCAACAGTAATGTTGAAGCGTACTGTCCAAGCACGTAACCCAAATCACCGACGCTGCAGCTGCGAACCCTCACCACCAGTGCAGCTGTTGACTCGCGTGTGGTCGCACCACTTTTGGTCTGTTACCCAAAATATAGAAGGGAAGGTTGGACACTATCCTCACAAGTGCCAGTCTCACTGCATCAATGAGTAAGTTTAGCTATCTCGAATAGTAACGGAAAGTAAAAAAACCATAGGCCTAAAAAAGACGTCTTTAAGACCACCTAACTACTCTAGATCACATCAGCCACCCATCAGAAAAGCTCAATCCGGTCTACATGAAGACAGCATGACAACTAACTGCATGTATCGCGTCAAAGGCTCACGAACGAAAGTGTAGATTAACAACACTAACGCCTTTAGTATACTGAATAAAGTAAAAGCTACACTACTGAGCGTTTGCATCAGGTCCGAGGTCGAATATAAACCCCAATGTGTCTGGCAGAGTGATTAATTCGATCGGAGAAGTTAACTGTGACATCGCAAATAATGGATTGGAAAAGAAAACAGTATGACAGATGTAGCGGCGATGGAGATTGGAACATCCAGTACTTGATTGAAGTGAGAAGTTAGACCCTTCTGACGTCTCCCAAAGTGAAATATATAAATGAGTTCAAGCTAAGTTAGAATCTCTGTGGAAGAAATGGTACGCAAGTCAAGACAAAAATTTGCATGTGTCTTAGAACGACCTCGGTCATTATACACAGTTCAAGATTGTGCTGTGCTTAATCCCAGTCATCGAATCCAAAAAACCGGTGTCATATGCTGCCAGACTACAGAAAGCCGCTGTTGTCACGTCCTGAGCTGCACCGATTATCACAATGAAAAAGCGAATGGCAAGATTCGAGTTTCTGCCGACTTCGCAACTGGACTTGACGCTGGTCAAAATGAACACCAGTATCAAAAACAAACAGATTTTTTACAACAATGAGTGGTGTTAAGCACTTGATGAAACTTGATATGTCTACCTCCAAGTGGATATCGATGAGGACCAACGGGAACGAATGACAATGAACACTCATCGCGGTCTGTTGAATTTAGGTGCAAGAACCGTGTCATCAATCTTTCAGCAGCTGATGGACACGATTCTACAGCGGGTTGGTGGAACCGCCGTATACCCAGACGGTACTATCAAAATTGACTGTACAGCCGAAGAGCTAGTTGAAAGTTTGAACGAAGTGTTCAGCCGCACGTAAACCTATGGTTTCCGAATTCGTGAAGTGAAATAGAACATCTTCACGACAACCATGGAGCAGCACATTTTCATCCTAGAAAATAATGGTCATCGTCCAGATCCCCAAATATAGAAGAGATACAGAAAATGTTTACACAACGGAAATAAAATCGCTAAGTGACCTTAGCACTCAGTACAGTGCTATTCTGGCCCAAATGCATCATCTGTGTACCACGCTGACACCTGAATTTTACTAAAAATGCCAGAGCGCTTTTACGCATTAAGCCTTCTGTTAATGTACCTCGACCAATTTCAAGAAGTCGTTCTCGTTACGGATGGGTCAAACCACTTGGTCGGTGCAGTGATACCACGGGTGTACCAAGATGGATCGTAGAACACAATCGACCATGCAGCCAAGGTGCTAACGAAAGCCGAAGGAAATCAGAGCCAGATCGAAAAAAAATCACTAGCAATAATCTTTGCAGTGAAAAAATGCTATACGATCGCCGTTTCAAGTGGTTGATGGACCAAAAGCTAGAATGGGCATCCCAGAGGATAGAGCCAATTGGCTTCGACGCTAGGCTCTCATTCCTCTGGGCTAAGATTTCGAGATCCGCTACCAGCTGACAGCTTGCATAGGTCAGACGGAGGCACATGGACCCGCAAACGTGGAAACAGGACACAGTTGTTCCGTCAACTAAGACTAAATCGGACGTAAAATGCTTTCAGGATTCGTCATCTACAGCAGAACAAGTAAGAACTGAAGTGCTTCTTACTCATCGCATAAGAAAGTCGCCTAATCCACCCGAACAAACTGGCCACGTTCATGCATGTCCGATGAAATGAAACAACAATATCAATGGAAATCATCGCCTTCCTTCGTGGACGACTTCATTCTACACGCCGGACACACAGGAATCAACCGGAGCTTTCATGGAATTGACCGAATACTGGCACAGAGCAGGACAGAAATGTGAGTCCAGTGAACGATACCTTTGAAATTCAAAAAAGGGTAAGAAGTACAAATACTGGAACCACTTAAATTCCATTGACGATGCGAGAAAGTTCATTGTGGAACCCACGTTGCAAAACGGTACACCGGTCCTTTGATTTTATGGCCCCCGGGAATGAAGGAGCGTTAGAAAGGACAACGCGTCGCAA